GGAATGAAGCTCACTAAAGAGTCTCTATGGGATATGACAATTATTCATGTTGTGCACAATAAATTAGACAAAATAACTCAAAATAAGTGGAAAGAATATCACACTTCAGTAGAATTGCCTCACTTAAATGAATTTCTTGAATTCCTGAAACAGAGACAAGACATATTACAATCTCAAGAAGAGCCTCATTCCTCCTCAATGATGACCGTCAAAAGTCACTCTGGGTTTCAGAAACCTCTACAATCTCGATCACAATTTCATTTATCAATAAATCAAGTTCAGTGCAATTTGTGCAAGAGTGATCATTTAATATATTCTTGCCCCGAATTTTTAAGATTAACAATTAATGACAGATGGGAAAAAATTAAATCTTTAAAACTTTGTCCGAATTGTTTACGTTTTGGTCACTCCAAGGAAAGGTGCAGTAGCGGATCACGTCGTAGGTGTAAACGTAAACACAACACTTTATTACATCAAGATTATTCTCGTTCATATCAAAGTCAAAACACACAGTCAAATGCATACAACAACAACAATCAATACAATTCACGAGACACAATTCAATTAGTAGGTGCTCATAATCATCCAAATAATAGTGACCAGGTGTCACACAATTCACAAACAATTTCTCACAATATTCAAACAATTTCAGTCCCAAATCAACAATGTTTAGTTACAGACAGAAATACACAATCTAATATAATTCTGTCGACAGTAACATTCAAAGTTAAAGACCAAAACAATCAATTGCATCAATGTAGAGCTCTGCTAGATTCAGGAGCCCAATCCCATTTAATTACCGAAGAGTTTGTTAAACGGTTAGGGTTACCATTAACCAATACCAATTTAGCTATTGTTGGTATTAACCAAGTGGTTTCTACCTTAAAAAAGAAAACTTCAATTACAATTTTCTCAAACAAAAATAATTTCCAATTTCAATTATCTTGTTATGTAACACCATTTATTTCAACTATTCCGTTACAAACAATTTGATATCTCTACAATTTCCATTCTCAAAATATAGAATTGTCTGATCCTACTTTCAATACTCCTCAGAACGTTGACATGATCATAGGTGCCAGTTTGTTCTGGGAACTGTTGTTAGAGGGCAATATTAAATTAGGAAAACATGCACCAGTGCTTCAAAATACCAAACTTGGATGGGTAATATCTGGTACTGTAATGAATGCGATATCAACGTCGTTATGCAATTTTTCACAATGTTTTATACCAGAAGACAATCAGTTACGTAAATTCTGGGAACTCAATGAGATAAATGAACCTATGATGTTATCAAAAGATGACGTCCAGTGTGAGGAACTGTTTACCAAACACACTCAAAGAAATGAAAACGGGCAGTTTGTAGTGAAGTTGCCCTTTAAATATTCTACTGATTTATTGGGAGATTCAAAAAACATAGCAAAACAACGATTCATATCACTCGAAAACCGATTCAAAACTCATCCTCAATTTTATCAATTATATAAAAATTTTATACATGAATATATCGATTTAGGTCACATGACCAGGGTGGAAAGTGACATGGTCACTGAACCAACTTATTTCTTTCCCCACCATGGCATATACAAGCCTAGTAGTCTGACTACTCAACTTAGAGTGGTCTTCGATGGATCAAGTCCAAGTAGTACTGGATGGTCTCTCAATGAGTTACAATATGTTGGACCAAAGGTGCAAAATAACATATTTGACATTTTAATTAGGTTCCGACTATACAAGTATGTTGTATCTGCTGACGTCAGTAAAATGTATAGGCAGATCCTTATACATGATGCACACAAGCCCCTTCAACAGATCTTGTGGAGGGACAACCAAGCAGATGAATTTTCAATTTACCAATTAAACACCGTTACGTATGGTTGTACTAGTTCGCCATACTTAGCAATAAAATGCATAAATCAATTAGCAATCGATCACTGTAATACATTACCGACAGCTTCACAGACAATTCTTAATGATTTCTATGTTGATGACCTAGTAACGGGTTCTAATGACCTTTCAGAATTACAAGCTCGATGTAAAGATATTTCAGACATATTAAAATCAGCACAATTCATACTAAGAAAATGGGTTACAAATAATCAGAGTGTTCTCATGAACATTCCATGTTGCGATATTCCGAATGAAATTTTAAATTTCGGTGAACACGAAAGCTGTAAAACCTTAGGTGTACAATTTAATAGTAACAAAGACATTCTAAATTTTAAAATATCTTCAAGTCTACACGATAATTCTATTACTAAAAGAAAGATATTATCTATCATTTCACAGATCTGGGATCCTCTTGGTCTTCTCTCCCCAGTAATTGTACTTTCTAAACTCATAATTCAGAAATTATGGACCCTCAAACTAAATTGGGACGAAAAGGTTCCACATGACATTTATATTAAATGGACACAATTTTACAATCAATTGTCCCAACTCAATCAATTAGAGATTCCTAGGCATGTTCTTGGATCCAATCATTCCATAGTAGACATTCATTGTTTCTGCGATGCATCTCAAGATGCTTATGCAAGCTGTATATATTTCCGAAGCATAAATGCAAGTGGCAGTTATCAAAGTCATTTAATTTGCTCCAAAAGTAAAGTTGCACCATTAAAGCGACTCACAATTCCCAGATTAGAGTTATGTGCTGCCCTACTGGGAGCACAATTAACAGCCCAAGTTGTCAATGCCAGTTCACCGTCAGTACCGATATACTATTGGTCCGACTCTCAGATAGTAGTATGTTGGATACCAAAGGATCCTAATCAGTTACAACAATTCGTAGGCAATCGCGTCGCCAAAATTCAACAGTTAACCAACAAAGATGATTGGCATTATGTTAGTACGAAAGAAAATCCTTCAGACCTGGCTTCTAGAGGAGTTTTACCACAAGATCTAGTTAACCGTGAATTGTGGTGGAAGGGGCCAATTTTTCTACGTGGTCCTATAGACAAACCCGCACCTCCTGCAATGTCTGAAATTGAACTTCCTGAACAAAAGATTAAAAGCTCGATGTTAATGGCTGCCCACTCTGCACCACTCTTTCTACTCTCTCGATTTTCTAATATTTCAACGTTAAAACATGTCGTTAGTTATTGTCTTCGATTTCGTAATAACGCTTGTAAACAAAGATCAGAAAGAACGATAGGCCCTTTAACTCTTTCCGAAGTAGAACAAGCATCATTGCGGTTAATAAAACTTGCACAATTGGATTCATTCGCGGAGGAATTATCTATTTTAAATTCCAAGAAACCATTACCAATCAAACATAAACTGTCAAATCTTACTCCATTTTTAGATGAAAACCATGTATTACGAGTAGGGGGTCGACTCAGATTATCTGGATTAGATTTTAACTCTAAACACCCTATATTAATTTCATCTAACCATCCTTTCACTAAGTTGCTATTTGAATATAAACATAAAGTCCTATTACATGCAGGTCCTCAACTCCTTCTCTCATCAATTCGACAATATTATTGGCCAATTCGAGGGAGAGACCTTGCAAGAAAAACGGTAAGAAATTGTCTTACTTGTTTTAAATTTAAACCTACGTTTGCCAGTTGTCCAATGGCCAGTTTGCCCGAAGCTCGCACAACCCCATCACTGCCATTTCAGCACTGTGGCATAGATTTTGCAACACCATTTTTACTAAACAATAAATCGGGTAGGGGAGCCAAAGAAATAAAAGGTTACGTTTGTGTTTTTGTGTGCTTTTGTACCAAAGCAATTCATCTTGAACTCATTACAAATCTCACAACCGACTGTTTGAAGCGTTTCATAGCTCGACGAGGTATCCCCAATGACATTTATTCAGATAATGGATCCACCTTCGTTGGAGCTCGCAATGAACTTAAACAATTTGGTCAATTTCTTTTAAAAAATAATACTTATATTCACAATTACGCTATTAATCATAATATAAATTGGCATTTCATTCCACCGTATGCGCCCAATTTTGGCGGTCTTTGGGAGGCGGCAGTTAAAAGCATGAAACACCATTTAAAGAAGGTGTTACTGGACAAAAACCTTGTCTATGAAGATTTCAATTCTTTGCTAATTCAGATCGAGGGAGTCTTAATTCTAGACCTATGTTTGCACTCTCTAATGACCCAACTGACCTAATACCACTTACTCCTTCCCATTTTCTGATTGGCCGTCCTATTACAACCATTCCCGACACTGATTTAAGCACAATACCTATAGGCAGGCTCTCCAACTACAAAACGATTCGTCATATGTATCAACAATTTTGGAATCGTTATGTGAAAGAATACGTTTCGCAACTGCAACAACAATACAAATGGAGAGAATCTTCGTCCCATTTGAAGATTGGAACTTTAGTGTTAATTGGAAGTTATCAACAACCACCATGTAGATGGCCTTTGGGACGTATTATTAGTTTGCATTCGGGTAAAGATAAACTTTCAAGAGTGGCAGAGGTAAAAAACAAACAATAAGACTGTTATTCGTTCTATTCGTCATTTGTGTCCGTTGCCAATGCAGCAAGAGAGTGTTAGTGATAGTATTGATACGTAAGACTTTATTTATATTTATTATCTATTTTGAAGGTACCCTTCAACGGGGGAGTTTGTTTAAAATTATTTCAATATATTTCTTTTCTATGTATAATTCCTAGCAATAAGATTTAATTGTCTAGACGGCAACCCTGTCAGCCCTCGGCAAAGCCGTTATAAAGTTATAAGATCAGTATGTTTCCATATGTTGCCATAAGAGCACTCAATAAAGAACGTGTGAAGAGATTTAGTTTTACAAGTTATTTCTTCACCCTATCGAGCAACTATTTACCACCACGATTAACCAGCGACCAGTCAATTTAAATCAACAATTTAAACAGTAGTGCAGGACTATTTAAAAGATGTTTTTTAAGCCTGTTTTGCACTTTTTTCAGCAATCTCCCGAGTGCCAGATTATTTTTTTGTTATAAAAAAATGTAAAAATTCTTTGTGCTCTTATGCTGTTTTATATTTAAGGCATGGAAGACTGGTTAGTGTCGAGTAGAAACTTGGAATTTTACGAAACGTTTGAAGACGTTGATGAAAAATGGAAGACAACAATCAGACCTCAGATGTTTCCTCCGAAAGCCGAAGATAGGGAAAAATTTAAACTAAATAGATGGTAACAGTGTATTTTATTAACCTTTTTTATAAAATTATTTTTAAGAGATCATTGCCAACTTCCATATAAAATTTAAGTCGCGCGAATGTTTCTTTTATAGAAAAAAAGTATTTGAGTTAGTTGTGACAGAATCAGCAACTTTCGGGATTCTTCTCTACCTTTCTTCGCCTACTGTTTTTAGTTTAAGTCGTGGCTACAAGGTGGCCAAAGAAATGAACTGAAAAATTATTTTAACTCAGTGTTTTCAAATCGCTAGATCACCGGGTTTTGACTGAATTTCCTTCGGAAAAATTCAGAAAGCTGCTGGTACTATCAGAATTAATCTAAAAACTTCTGCTTCTTTAAGATCTTTAATGCTTAACTAACTATAATTCGGAAGTGTTGCAATTACAACCTTTAATTTTATTCGAAATGTGTACTAATTTTGGATATCCGGTGTTTTAAATAATCATATATTTAACTTTTAATCAATTTAGATTGCATATACTATTATGGCAAGTTTAGAATGCTGAACTAAGCTATAATTACCAAATAATACATATGTTTAAATATATTGTAATCATTTAGTCAATTTTTAATTGTAGCATAAGAATTTTACCCCATCAACAAAATACCGGTGCGTTTTTTGTAGCCGTCTTACGAAAACTTAAACCGTTAACTGCGAAGGACAAATCAACAGTACGAGAACAAGACGATCAGGACTTTCAGGAGTCTAAAAAACGGGAAAATGAAGATAACCTGCCACATAATCAGAGAAAAAAGCGCAAAAAGGATGTATATAAAGAGGATCCTTTTGTCTTTTTCAACGATGATGAGCCTGTGTGGAATGACATTAAAAGTTTTTACCAAGTTTCAGGTAACTATATAGGGTGATCAATTTTTGAGACAAAAAGTCTCAAAAAAAGATATAGAATTAAAAAGAAATACAAAATCAATGACCTATCCTAGCTATAGTTTTTAAATGGCTGTCAAAATTAATAAAAGTTTTTGATTTTGCTAATACTCTGTAAATCTAATACAGAGTAAGCCCAAACGCAAATTCATTATTTGCTCAGTATTTTTAAAAGCATCAATCTGTATTTTATATCACCATCATAAACAAGAGTTAATGTAGTTTAATTTGTTTTCAGTATTTCCTATGCATATACTTAATAGTTTTATAGTGATATTTTAAATTGTAGTGGAAAAGGGGATCTTTCATCAATTAAGTTTATTTTTATTTACTTTACTGTTGAGTTTACCGAAAGTACAAGCTGAATATAACCGCAAATGTCAACCATGAAATAAAATATTTCGGTTTGGCAGTGTTGGGATGTTTTTATAATGCATATGTTGTATGCTTCAAATATAAAGAAGGAAAGCTTTTAAAAAGTACGTTTTGATTATAATATTTTATTAATTCTGCAATTTTTAATTTATACGAAACAATAACGAGTAAATATTTGTCACTTTCGAGATTAATTTCAAACACCTGTTGCAATCTGTCAACTGCTGATTTGATGGTTGGCAAATCTATCCCCTAATGTATCAAAGGCCAATTACCAAAAAAAAAAAAATGTCTAACAATTAACTGCAATTAAGCTCTACAGATTTCCTACTTCGGACCATACTTCAAGGTAAAGTGCATGGGAAAAGAGGTCCAGGACGAAGAAGAATATCCTGGCTGCATAACCTGCGAAAATGGTTTAACTTAACCACTACCGGACTTTTCAGGGCAGCAGTCAACAATGTCAGAATAGTCATGTTAGTGTCCAACATCCGTAACGGATAGGCACCATAAGAAGAAGAATCTCTAAAGAAACAAATATTTACTCATTCTTGTTTTATATAAATCAAAAATTGCAGAATTCATAACATAATATAATCAAAATGTACTTTTCTAAAGTTTTATCTCTTTATATTTGAAGCATACAGTATATACATTAGAAAAACATGCCAACACTGCTAAATCGAAATTTTTTGTTCCATGCTTGGCATTTGCGGCTATAATTAGCTTGTAATTTCGGTAAACTCAACCTACTTTACTATTTACAAATATCTTAAAGCATAAAAAATGAAATAAAGAAATTACTAGTTTCATTGCAGAAGGTTTTCGAAATGGCTTCTTATATCTTTAAAATCAAGGTTGCTATGAAGATATGTTTCACAAATTGACTATTCAGTGTTAAATCAAATTGTTATAACATTGTCATGAATTTTATAATTATTTCAACAATGAATTTTGAAAGGGAACAACTGGTAGACATGGTGTGGATATTAGGTAAATGCTATATAACTGTTTGGTTGTAGTAAGAGTCTATCATGCGCGATGTCCATATCATCGGCACAGAATAAATAATAATCAGAATGCTCACTCTCAGATGCCGCCTTTGAAGTGTGTCATCACGAGATCGCCCTATTTTAAGCGGAAACATAGACTCGAATTGAGAAATTTGTGACAAGCTACGACAGAACTGTAATTTAAACTTTTAGAGATTAATAATTTAGTAAATTTGAAATAATTTAATCTATTCTTCAACTAAAAGTTACGAATAAAATAGTGCATAATATGTCTATGGTTGCCGTAAATAAATTAAACCGGGTTAATTTTTCTATGCACACGTTTTCAAAAATATTATTAAAAAATTTTGTTGAAAAGATCGTATAACCGCCAAAGTTGAGGTTATATTATCATAGACATATAATACAAATATACGTATTCCTGCAATACATTACCGTTCCCCCAGTGCGACAGAGAAAACTGATGTAAAGCTGTCCCTGCTTTTTTCCTAATGGGCCGTGTTTATCGATTACGTGACGTTCTCATTGGTCATTTAGGTCACGTGATCAAAAAATCCGGTCCATTAGAAAAATATGCAGGGACTGCTTTGCATCAGTATTCTCTGTCGCACTTGGGGAACGGCGCTGTATTGCAACGCTCAGAATTTTTGTATTATATGTCTATGTATATTATGTTAACTTGCATAAACTCAACTTTGACGGTTATACACGTTTCATAAATCAAAAAGTCAAATTCTAGTTAGTTAAAAATGTAATTTTAATTACAATCAATTGTACGAATTAAATAAAAACACACGTAGTATATCGTTGAGGATTAGAATATGTTAAATTAATTAAAACTTCAATTAGGGTTTAGAATATTATCATCGTTATTAGCTTATAAATATGTATTTACCCCACAAAGTCAAACACAAAAGGTAATGGTTCGCCGTTATAATAATTCGTTTTAAAAAAACTTCAAGCTGCAATAATTTACCCTTGGCCATTTAGAAAACATAATAAACTTAGGAACTAACATATTGTTTCGAAATTCTAATTTGCTATCTGAGTCTCTTAAATTTGTAGATAAATTCGACTCCAAGTGCCTACTAACAAGATGTCATGTTGGCAAAAAGAAGAACATATACCTTACATCTGATGCTGTCAGAAATTTGGTAATATCCAATCAAGGAATTGTTAAATTCATCAACACGGGCATTAAAGCTTTTGTGCGTTGTGATAACAAAAATATGAAATGTGCATTTAGGTAAGTTCTTGGTTAAATGTGTTTCTAGTTAACTAAATGATTCACATTCTATACTAAAACCCATTCATTTTCTAGAATAGCTAATGATGGTCTTGAAAGCATATATCCTTATATCGGAGATGATAGAAAAGTGTACATTCCTAAAGACGATCTGATAACTCTTCTAATGAATGATACTCCACAGAAATCACCGCCGATTGCAGATCTATCTGAGCAGATTAGAAATCAGGTAGAGAATTTAAGTAAGTGCAGAATTTCATTATTACATTTTTGTATACGGTAATATATTGGCTGAAATATTGCTAAATTGAATAAAGCTAATGTCGCACAAAATGCAAATTTGGGAGAGAACTGTAGAGCAAAGGTTAAGGAGAGAGACATCTATCGGAGTAGAACAATTTGGGTTTATGCCAGAAAGAAGGACAACTGATGCCTTGTTTGCGTTGACACAGTTGATAGGGAAATACAGCGAGAAGAAAAGAGCTACATTTGATATTTATAGATCTTGGGAGGGCTTACGACACAGTTGCTAGACAAGAGTTATGGGTATATATACCCATAGTAGCAGTATAACCTGCGAATCTCTTAGTTCAAAACATCCAGATTTATATTCTTCATTTAAGGTAAGCATTTATGAGTCTAATTTCCAGAATGCTATGGACTCTGATAAATGGCCCCATGGAGCATATGTCCAGCGTTTTTTATACCTACAGAGAACGCACCTGAGAAATTCCACATAAATAACGACGTTGATGTTAGTTCACAAAATAATAATAAGGTAGATTCTTTTGAAAATTTTAAAATCATAAGTGTTAACTCTCAATCGATAACTAATAAAAGTAACAGAATTGAGGTAATCTTGAGCTCAGAGGATCCTGATGTTCTGTGTGTGTCTGAAACATGGTGTAGTGATTTAAATAGGGATTTATTTTGTTTTCCAAATTATAACCAAGTAGCGTCGTTCACAAGAAAATATAAATGCCATGGAGGTGTTTCGATGTACATAAAAGACTGTTTATCTTGTAAACCTCAAAACTTTTTAAATAATATGGCGGAAGAAATACATTTTGAATGTTGTTGTGTTACTTTTAGCTTAAGAGATAGTATATGTTGTCTTATTAATATTTACAGAGCCCCTTCTGGCGATATTGAGATATTTATTGTAAACAAACTTTACTCGTGTCTAAATTATTGTTTTAAACATTTTAAAACCATTATTTTATGCCGAGATTTTAATATAGATTATCTTAAAGACTCTAAGGAAAAAGTTTTACTTACTGATTGTATTCAAAGTTTTAATTTAAAATGTCAAAATAAAGAACCTACACGAATATTTACAGACAAGAATGGAAAAACTTCTAAAACTAAATTAGATTATTTTCTTACAAACTGGTCACATCAATATGAAGAAACTACAAAAGATTTTATTTTGGGAGATCATTTTGGTTTGGAGTTTTTGTTAATAGATGCCAAACCAGAAAAAGAGCAATTTAAAATAAGTCAAAACGTAACATTCAGAAATCTTTCCAAATCGAATTTATTAACTTTACAAAACAGATTTTTTACTGAAAATTTTGAACAGGTTTACGAATATCTCGATAATGCGAATTTGGCATTTGAAACATTTTTGAACATACTCACGTACCATATTGACATATCTTGCCCAATGACTACAAAAAGAATTTGCAATAAGTCTAAAAATAGTTGGGTAACAAATGATATAATACAAGAGGGAAATGATTTGAGAAGTCTTTTTTGGCTATCACATAATTCTAAAAACATAGATATTCATTTAAAATATAAAGAAAAAAAGAAACAATATGTCAAACTAATCAACGAAACAAAAAAGAGTTTCTTTCAAAATAGTTTGGAATGTAAGAATACTATACAGCAAAAGCAGAAGTTTATATGGCGTACGGTTAATAAAAAAATAGGTAAGACGGTAAAACATAATAATTATGATAAAATACAACTTGCTGATAAAATTATTACTAATAAATATGAGATGGCAAACGCTTTTGTAGAGCATTTTACTACTTGTCCTAAAAATAAAATCATAAATATTTTTAAAAATACCAATTTTGATCATTATACCACACAACATGTAGATAAATCCTTTTATTTTTTTCCTGTAGATGAGTATGATGTTAGAGAGGGTATTGGCTCCTTGAAAAATGTTACCTCGGTAGGTATTGATTGCATATCAACAAAATTAATAAAGTGTATCAGTGAATATATAGCGCAACCCCTTGCAAATTTAATAAATTTATCAGTTGAACAGGGTATTTTTCCACATAGCTTGAAGGTAGGAGTTTGTAACTCCAATATTCAAAAGTGGGGATAATTCAGTTTTAGATAATTACAGGCCAGTTACGGTCCCTACTATTTTGGGTAAAATTTATGAAAAATGTGTATACAAAAGAATGTATAGTTTCCTTAGTAAATACAATATATTATGTTCCAACCAACACGGATTTCTACCTGGTAGATCAACAGAGAGTGCTACCACTGAATTGCTTAGTTTCATTCACATCGCACTGGATCGGGGAGATTTTGTGGGGGCACTTTTCTTTGATCTCTCAAAAGCATTTGATACCATAAACGTAAGAGTTGCTATAGAGAAGCTAAAAAATCTTGGTTTTAGGGGTCAGTTCGCATTATGGCTGTCATCTTATTTACATTCTAGGAAGATCCTCGTTAAACTTAGTGACACACGATCAGATTATAGTGATATTGATATTGGGGTTCCTCAGGGTTCAATATTGGGACCATTAATATTTCTATGCTACATTAATGATATGCCTAGATATGTCAGTTCAAATAACATATTTATGTATGCAGATGACACAACCATTGCTACATCTGCTTCAAGTGCCGAGGAATTAACTTCAACTGAATGTTATATCAAAAGATTTTACAGAGTGGTGTAAAAAAAATGCTTTGATTGTTAATGCTAAAAAAACCACAAGCATGCAATTCTACTACAGATCAAATTCAAGTTACCAGTTTTCAATAAAAGTGAATGATAGCCTGGTTCATTCTACAACTTCCACTAAACTTTTAGGTTTGTATCTTGATAGTAACATGAGCTGGGAATCTCAAATTAATCATGTTTGCAAAAGAATAAATAGTAGTTATTACGCAATATTGCAATTAAAAAGCTTTCTTAAAAAGGAACAGTTATTGAATGTTTATTATGCAATTGTTTATCCTCACTTAGCCTTCAATATAAATCTTTGGGGTAGTGCTGTGAATGCTGCAAGAGTGTTTGTCTCTCAGAAAAGGATAATTCGGTTAATTTTTGATTTACCATATAGGCATTCATGTCGACAATATTTTAAAGAATACAATATTTTAACAGTACCTTCTATATATATTTTTAAATGTATACTACATGTAAAAGCCAATATAACTACTTTTAATTTAAACTCTAATTATCACCAGTACCCAACTAGGCAAAATGACCTTATCAGAGTACGAAAGCATAATACAGCACGGTTTGAAAAATCCCAGTATTATATGGGTATAAGACTTTTCAATCATCTTCCCAACAGTATTAAATCTGAAATGAATTTAAATAAATTTCGAAGTAAATTAAAATCTTTTCTGTTGCAAAATTGTTTCTACAGTGTAAATGAATATATGGGGGATGTAAATAATTAATTCTATGTATTTTTTATCCTTTTACTCTGAAATTGTGATGTTTTTATAATGTATTTATGTATATATATTTTTTTTATTCGACTTATCCTATATCATGTAAATGATCTTTAAGGATGAATAAATTATTATTATTATTATCCAGATTTAGCCATACGGCTCACACTCCCTCTAAGGGGAAAATTCACTCATCCCAGATACCTACGGTATCAAAAGGATTGAGCTCTGGTGGGACTCTTTCCATGTTATCGAGCCCTAGGTGACTTGGTATATTGGAGTATCTCCCAGAAATTTTCGTACACATCTGGACGTCGCGAGGAGTACAGCTTTCTGCATGCCTTATAAAGATGTTCATTTAGACCCAGCTGTTTTATGTTCGCTAGGAGGTTTTTGGGAATAACACCAGTAGTAGATAGAACAATAGGTAGTGTCTGGGTACTTTCCATTCTCCATTGTCTCCTGATTTGTATTTCTAGATCTCTGTACTTGGCGATCTTTTCGTTGTATTTAACAACTAAATTATTGGTGTTGGGTATCGCCACATCAATAAGTGTTGTTTGTCTAGTAAGTTTATTAACTAGTATGAGATCCGGTCTATTATGGGCCACTGGTTGGTCTGTAAGCACAGTGCGGTCCCAGTATAGCTTGTAGTTGTCATTTTCAAGCATTCTATCAGGAGCGTATTGATAATAAGGAAGATGGTCGGTATGGAGAAGTCCCAGTTTGTCAGCTAGTTCTTGGTGAATAATCTTTCCTACTGAGTCATGGCGTTCTTTATAATCAGTACCGACAAATGCCTGGCACCCACCGGTAAGATGTTGGATGGTTTCTTGGGCTTGGCATCCATATCGGCATTTGTCATTTTGGACTTGAGGATCTTTAACAATATACTTCAGGTAATTTTTAGTTGGAATAACCTGATCCTGAATGGCAAGTAGGAAACCCTCAGTCTCGGGGAACATCTTTCCTGATGTCAACCAATAGTTCGACGCTGTATTGTCGACATATTCTTGGTTGATCTCATTGAGATGTCGCCCATGCAGAGGTTTACTCATCCAGGTGCGCATTTTTTCTTGCTGAGTCAGGTGGTTTATGCGCATTTCTGTTCCCTCAGTTTAAGCGGCGTCGTATCATCTACTGCGCAAATTGCTCGATGTAAAGTAGATGTCTCAGCCTGTACCTGAAAATAAAGTCTTAGATTAGCAATTTGTTTATCTAATTGCTCACCTATATCCATAAGTCCTCTTCCCCCTTGATACCGCGGTAATGTTGTTCTCTCTACTGCACTACGTGGATGATGTTTTTGCGCCTTTGTGAGAAGTGTTCTTACTTTCCGCTGAAGACCCTCTATATCCGTTTTTGACCACTTTATAAATACCAAATGAGTAGCTCAGTGCAGAACAGGCGTACGTATTTAATGCCTTAAACAAATTTTTACTATTAAGATATGACCGATTTAGTTGTCTTACTCTTCGCACGAACTCCGAAGTTAGTTCCGTTTTCATTTGTTTATGGTCAATTTTACGTGCCTGTTTTACTCCGAGATATTTGTACATATCATTTTCACCCATTGCCTCGATGTTTTGGCCATCTTGCATATCGAAACCTATAGGCTGAACCTTTCCTCTGACTATATTTAGTATACGGCACTTGTCTAGTCCAAAATGCATACTGATGGCATATTGAAGCCAATAATTTTAAATCATCCATATACAACAGATGATTAAGTTTCGCTACAACGGTGTTGTTATTTTTGATGCTAAATCCTGAGTCAGTAGAGTTCAGCAGCTGAGATAGTGGGTTCATCGCTAGGCAGAACCAAAGTGGACTCAACGAGTCCCCTTGGAAAAGGCCCCGGTTAATAGGGATATCTTCAGTTTCGATATTAATTTCACCAGGTATTTGAAGGTGAATTTTAGTCTTCCACTCTGCCATTATATGCTTCAAAAAGGTCACGAGATTATCATCGACTTTATATATTTATTTATTTATTATTATTATTATTATTATTATTATTATATGAGAGAGAAATGAGTTCCTGAGAAGTACGTGAGGATATACGTGAAGGATATGTACGAAGAAGCGTACACCAAAGTAAGGATTGCTGTCGAATTGATCGAAAGTTTTCCAGTGACGGTTGGTTTACTTCAAGGCTCTTCACTGAGTCTTTACCTGTTTAATCTTGTTATGGATGTACTGATAGAGAAAGTAAGGGAGGAGCTCCTTGACCAATGTTCTTTGCTGATGATATCGTGTTAGTAGAGAAGAAGAAAAAAATGTTGAAGAAGTTGGAGGTCGAAAACGGTGTATATATGGTTGGGAGGAAGTGGAATGGTTGGGGACGTAGAATTGCTTGAAGAAAAACTAGGACTAGTAGGAAAATTTTAATACCTTGGCTCCTACATAACGGAAAATGGGACACTAGCTCGAGATATTGCCCACAGGATACAGGCTGGTTGGTTTAACTGGAAGCGAATGACCGGGGTACTTTGTGATCGAAGAATCGGGGAAGGGCTAAAAGGAAAGATATACAAGAGTGTGGTGAGACCTGCATTGGTGTACGGCGGTGAAGAATGGCCTATAAAGAAGATCGAGGAAAAGAAAGTGGAGGTAGTTGAAATGAAAATGTTACGGTATTACCCCACGGTAGATGTTGGGTAAGACTAGATGTAAGGAGATCAGAAACGACTTGATTAGGGAAAGAGTATAGTCTCAAAAAAGATGCAATAACAAAGACTGCAATGGTTTGGCTATGTCAGTTGTAGAGATTAAACCTATGTGGGACGAAGGATAGTGCTGTTAGAAGTTGATGGAAGAAGAAGTAGAGAAAACCCGAGGAGAAGATGGAAGGACTGTGTGGCAGAGGACTTGAGAGAGAAAGTTTTAGGTATAGAAGACACGATGGACAGAAATGAGTGGCGACGAAGAGTAAGAGACTCGGAAAAGGGAAAAGCTGAGGAAGAAGAAGATATTGGCTAAAACAACAGTAGATTCGAAGAATTTTAATCTTTAACAGCAACAACAACTTAAATTTTATCGAAAAAGATTAGCTTTTCTGCAAAGAATACTATGACGAGCTCGTAGAATTCATTCTTTTTACAAATAATATAAATAAATCATGATTTAATTTTCTTTAGCGATGTTTCTAAAACTAACACTGGTGTTGACAGTCACCACTAAATATGAACTATAAGATCATCTCGGTCACCCTCAACATACAGCGTTTACAAAGGTTAATTTTCAACAACACAATTTTCACTGACCACCCATTGTTTCAAAACATTCATGACATCTACCAAAATCTCTGCTCACAATGTAACAGTCTCTATCATATGGCTGCCTTCTCATACTGGAATTACTGGTAATTAATTAGCAGATTATTTGGCCAAAGAAGCTACCAACCGTAGTACTGAAATAACTATAATTCAACTAGCTAACGATTTCAAACTCGTTTTCAAAAAGTCAGTAGAGGATAACTGGCAAAATAACAAAACAAATCTTCACGAACTCAAACCGTTTATTGGTCATCTCTCCCTGTACTAGAAGACTAACTATAAGAGAAGCGTTCATTATTATAAGACTCAGAATTAACCACACCAAATTTATTAATGGTTTATTGATGTACTTAGGAACGTGCCGCTATTGCAATGTTTACCTGACCGTGTAAAACATCCTCACCGAATGCAAGCCATTTACCAACCTGTATAAAGCATTGGAATTGAAACATTTGTAAGCAAATGCTCCACAACTCTACAGAGATCACAAAAACTATACAGTTTCTAAAAACTGCTCAGCTTTACCACAAGATAAATCTAAGAGAAATTAGGTAAAGTGATATAATTAGTATTTGTTTTCGTTATTTAATATATACAGTGTGTTCCAACGAAAATTTGGGCCACCAGAAACTCACAATCCAAGAGTTTTTTCAAAATTTAAGAAAACACGTCAATTTGTATTGGGAAAAGGACGAATTTTTATGCAAAATGCCCTTAAATGTAACCCCCTACTGCCCCACATCATGTGGGGCAACCCTGCAATAAAAATAGTAGTTTAATGCCGTAAGATTTTAATGCCAATGCAATGCAATAAGTTTAATGCCAATACATTATATGACATCATAATTAGTGATAGTGTGGCTAGCATTCCAACCAAAGACGTTTTGTTCTACAGGATATTGCATGCTGAATTTGGCTACTGAAAATAATAATTTAATCTCTTGTATTTTTGCAGGTCCAGGTAGTTGTGTTCTAATTTATAAAGAAGAAACAAAAGACAACGAAGATCCTCTGGTGATACACATAAGCGGTTGGAGGGGAACTACGTCATTAAGATGTTATATGGATCGCCATAATACGGTCCACTTATTAAGATTGTTAGGAGGAGATATTTCAAAATACGGTAAGAATTGCTTTTATTAATTGCAATTATCAAATCGAACTAAGATTAAATTGAAAAAATGAAATTTGACTAAGTTGTTAAAATTAAATGTCTTGGGTTGAAACTTTACACTTCCACAGAATGAATGAAATTTGAACTTTCAAATTGAAACGTTTTGTTGAATATTTTATATTAAAACGGTGTTTCGACAAATTCTGTGCAAATAATTTAGAAAGACTGATATATCAGGCGCAAAATAAGGAAACGTTATCTAAACATACTTTAAAAACTAATGATGTCTTTCCTCATATATGATATTTAGATTAACAACTCATCACAAATGTGTAAAATTTTTACTGGCTTGTGGAGATGGTTACTTTGTGTTCATATTATTTAAATATACAATATTTTCATGAAATTATTAAGTTTTATTTGAACTTTGATCATAGTTTCGATATTAAATGAATTATTTTTTTAGTACATTTTGAGGTTATAATCTTATAAGGAAAACGGTCTAACAAAATTAATCCAACACATGTGATTTTCAGAACGTATTATCCAGATTTAAGCCATGTTGCTCTCACTCCCTTTAAGAGAGTGAGAGCAACATAGCTTATTCATTCATTCCAGATGCTTCCGGTATCAAAAGGATTGAGCTCTGGTGGGACCCTTTTGTGTTATCTCCCAAAAATTTTCCTACGCATCTGGACGTCTATCGCAGTACAAATTTTTGCATGGTCTCATAAAGATGTTCGGTCAACACAGTTGTTTTATGTTTTCTAGAATGTTTTTTGGTATAACACCAGTAGTATGGAGAATATGAGGTACTGTCTGGGTCCTTTCAATTTTTCCATTGTCTCCTTATTTGTATTTCCAGACTGCTGTACCTGGCGATCTTTTGATAATATTTAACGCTGTATTTCATTGTGTTATTTGTCTAGTTAATTTAGTAACTAATATGAGATCTGGTCTAGTATGTGCCATTGGTTGGTCTGTGCTCTCCCTACATAGCTTGTAGTTGTCATTGCCAAGCATACATACACCAGGAACGTATTGTTAATATGGGAGGTAGTTGTTTGCAGAAATCACTGTTTATTAGCTATCTCTTGATTAAGGATTTTTCCTACTGGGTCATGTCGTTCCTTACATTCAGTTGCAGCTAATGTCTGGCAATCCCCGGTAAGTTGTTGGATGGTCTCTTGTGCTTATGGAATGGCGGGTTAAAGAACTTCTGTCTCGTGGAACATCTTTCCTGATGTCAACCAATAGTTCGAAGCCGTAGATGTCTCAGTCTGCTTTCGAAAATAAGTTCTTAAATTAGCAATATGTTTTTTTAATTGCTAACTTAAGTCCTCTTCCCCCTAAATACTGTGGTAATGTTGTTTCTACTCCACTATTGTTTTTGTGCCTTTCTGAGATGTTTTCATACTTTTCGCTGAACATTTTCTATATTCGTTTTCTACATTTGCGTATAATCGCCGAACATGCGCCTAACCTATTATAATTAGAGTTTTTCTTGTATACTTTTTTGTAATATATTTTATTTTTATATGTTTCCTTTTTTTGGTATTCTGGGCCATATTCGTGTTCTCATTCATGTTTAATGTCCCCGGTATTCTTAATTTTTTTGTTGGTCTGTGAAATATGTCAAGATGACTATATTATGTGGAAATTAAAAGAGTGTTGTGTTTTATGTTTTGCTTTTTATTGTTCTTCTTGTTTTTATTCTATTACTGTGTTTTGCTATTGTTGTTTTTGTTCTATTTGTATTCTTGTTTATTCTTTTGTCCTAGTAAATCTTGTTGGTTGAAAATCATTTCTCTATACATTAAGAAAAATTATAATATAGAATTAAAACTGACGATTTTGCTGTTCTTTATCTTCATATTTTCATTTTAGATGTTAATAAGTTTAAAAAACCTGGTGAAGAAGATACAGTGAATGGAAACGAGGATGAAAATGTAGTTAGTACAACAGAAATTGTACAGTAGATGTTAATGAATTACAATGTATTTTTAAATAAAATTTTTATTCAGTTTTTGTATGTCTTTATTATTATTTTTAGATGTACTCTAGATAACACTGAGTTACATCAAATCGATATTTTTTTATTTTGAAATTCTACTATTACAGTTTACAAAAAAATTGCAAGCATGTTGCATATTGGATATTCCCCAAACATATAATTTTGATAATATGAAAATCCGCTTTTTCTGTGATCGAGAATAGGTATGCCTAAATAGTAAAAACGTCATAAATTTACAATAGCCTCGATAAACTTATTAAAAATACAAGTAAAATTAATAACAACAAAATATTTAGAAACGGATGTGGTGGTGGATCAGATTACAAAGAAATTAGTTAATTAAATAGTTGACGCAAATCAAATATGTACAGTTGCGGTCACGGAATAGTTTACAGGTTCACGTATCTAGGAGCCCATTTTTTAAATTTTTACTTCGTTTAAAACGCACCTTTTACGTCAAAGTGACGTTGCCAGTGGTGTACTAGCTAGAATAGGTAGATTAAAATTAAAATATCAAAATATTTTACAAATGAAAAATATAGAAAACAGTTTTTTGAATAAAATGGATTATGATCTTAATAACGAAAATAAAGAAGTCTTTTTTTTTAATATGCATTTTATTTTAAATCTATTTTATATTAAATAACGATAAACAATGATAAATAATAATTAATATTTGGTGGAAGCCCCATTCTTGTCAATACAATTTTGCAGTCTTCTGTTCATAGATAGCACCAATCCCCTCATGTTATAGTTAACAAGCTCTTCCCATGCCTGCTCAATTGCTTCCCATAATTCAATTCTATTCCGTTGTCTAAGGTTTCTTTCATTTAGTTTCTTTGTTAACTCTGCCCACACATTTTCGACGGGGTTAAAGTCTGCACTACGGGAAGGCCACGGAAGAACATTAACATCAGTTTCTTCTAGCCATTCTCGATCAATTCTACTCGTATGCACCGGGCAATTGTCATGTTGGAAGATAAAGTCGTTGTTGGGGAATCTCTGGATCACCGATGGCAACATTGTGTGCTCAATAATATGTTTGTAATATAATCCTGTTAACTTCTCTACATGATAACAAACGCCCGGGCCTTCGGCACTTATCCATCCCCATACGTTGACAGAGAATCCTCCACTATTTCTTAAATGATGCGTATACTGTTCATCAGACCTATGATTTCTCGGCCTTAAACTCTTATTCGACCATTATTATACGACTGAAATACTTTTTCATCGGAAAATACAACCCTAGACCAAAAATTCTCATCGCGGTTTATAAATTCATTACAAAATTCAACTCGTCTCCTCTTGTGATCCTCAGTCAAAAAAGGTTTCCGTGCAGCTACACAATTTAGCAGTCCACTTGCTTTAATTCTTCGACGTGCAGTGCGAATACTGCCTGGAAACGCTGCCTCTTCTCTTGCCTTTTGAGCTGTGGCAAAAGGAGATTCTCTCAAATAATCTACTAACATCTCATCCTGTTGATCTGTGGAAATCTTCTGCCCTCCTGAACCGCCCAACCGTGCTACAGAGTGAAAATTATCCCATCTTTGTTTAATCTTCCATACGCACATATGACTCACGTTCAAATCAGCAGCAACTTGCCTTAGTGACCAACCTTCTTCGAGTTTGGCAATTGCTCTTGCTTTTTGCGCATAATTCAAATGTATTCTAACCATTTTGGAAGAGTTTAATATACTTTTATTTTATTGTTGAACACTCGCGAAAGCATTGACGTTTTGAAATTTTTTGACTTTGACATTTATCAAATCCGTACGACACTGCAATTTTACAGTATTACAATATAAAAAGTAAGGTGTAAACTATTCCGTGACCGCAACTGTACATATGGAAGAATGGATCGATTGTCACATTGAAATGCACAAGGTAGAAGACACGTGAGAATTGTTGAACACACCAGAAATAATCATAACTCAGAACATTGAAATCGAACAGTATTATCCAATCAGCCCCTAGAAATAAAAAATAAAAAAAAAAACCGAACAGAACGTAATCTCAAATAAACTGCTAAAATCGACACGATCCCAAATGAAAGGTGAACTAGCACCATCATGCTCATATTTAAAAATGGAGACAAGCAGTTTCCCTCAAATTATAGAGGAATAAACTTAGTAAACAAAACATTCAAACTTACGACAAAGATTAACGAACAATATTAATGCTCGTATATCCCAAAAGGACGAACAACAAGGATTCCGATCAGGTAGATCTTACACAGATTCCATCTTTGAAAAAAATATAAATTTAAATATTTGTAGATTTTTAAATATTTGTAGATTTGTAGAAAAAAAACTTTTAGTTCCCGAGGTACTTTGAAATGCCCTCTCGTCGCCGAGTCTACGCCGAACGCCTACCTGCTAAACCAGACCCTCCTCTGTCATCCAGCGATCCGGAAGCTGTAATGCCGGCATCACTTCCAAAGCACTACCTTTATTCATTCATTCTCCATTCATACATATCCACACTCCTAGTTCGGCATCATTCTCAGAAGGGCATTTCCTCCTTTCCCACAGTCAAACTCACGCATTCTAACTCAAAAAGTGTGACCCACTGTTCTAACTTTACCTTTCAGCATCACTCACTCTACCTTTGCCGTTGGTCCAGCTGTCTTTCTTCCTCTTCCTTTTTTTGATAACTGCACGGATATAACTGTGTATGTTAATCCAACCTAATTTATTTTCAATCATTCTCTCAATCATTTCTCTCACTGTAACACAATTCACACCTGTCTCTCTCTCCATTATGTTCCTTTCCACTATCCATCTGCTGCAATCTAACATCGTATGTGTCACAGTGTCCGAGTATCCACAATATAGGCATTCATCTGTATCAGCCTTACCGATCCTATAAAGGTAGGCCCTAAAACACCCGTGTCCTGTGAGCACCTGCGTCAGGAAATAATCCAATCGCCTGTGGTCACAGTCCACCCAAACTCTTATGTTAGAGATTAGCATTTTCGTCCACTGTGCCACATCCTCCGTATTGTTCCATTCTTCTTGCCATCTTTCAACTGACCTTTCCCTTACCTGTCTTCTCTCAGCCACAGTAAGGTTTGGGCCGCTTTCAGCCACTCTTCTCTCATAAAGCTCTTTTCTTTCCACCGCCAAAACATGCAACGAAACACATCCAGTGATGGTCCATAAGGCTGCCGCAGACACAGTCCTGTAGGCGCATGCCACTCGCAACAGACTTGTTCTGTCTACTCGTTTCATAAGACTCCTATAGGCCGTTATCTCTACCGCCTCGCTCCAGACTGGTGCTGCGTAGAGAACGATAGACTGTACAACACCGTGTAAGGCCCTCCTCCTTTCGGATTTGGGTCCTCCAATGTTAGGCATCACTCTCCCCAACGCAGCCTTACTATTCGCAGACTTTCGGACCACCTCCCGAACGTGTTCCCCCTATTTTCCATTCTGGTGCAATGTCACTCCTAGATACTTTACTTGTGTCTTGGGTGTTAGACATACTCCCACACATTTTAATTCAACACCTTGCCTGTTCCTAGTCCCCCCTTCAGAATAATGGCTTCGGTTTTCTCTGTCGCAAGTTTTAGTCCGTGCTGCGTCATACATTTCTTTACGACGCCACCTGCGTTCCGAACCCGGTATTTGAGATCTGGCTCATCCCGGGCTACTACCAGTACAGCGAGGTACTCCGCCATAACAGTCATCAGGTAACCAGGACATTCTCTTTCCTCCATTGCCTTCATTACCTCGTTCCACTGCAGCGTATTGAATGCATTCTTAACATCAAACAACAGCAGGGCCGCCCAGCGATGTTCATTTCCTCTGATGTGCAATGTTTCGAGTACACTCATGATTGCATCAATCGTGGTTTTCCCTTTACAAAAACCAAATTGCCTCCGAGATAAACCACCTGACCTCTCAATCATGTCGTCTATGCGTACTCGCAGCATCCTTTCATAGAGCTTACTGATGCATGGAAGAAGACAGATGGGGCGATACTTTTCCCTAGCTTTGGGAAGCAGTATTAACCTCGATGTCCTCCAAGGCTCAGGAAAGGTTTGTGCTTCCAGCAATGCATTCATGTGTTCCAGAAGCCACGCAGGCTCCACCCGTCCTAGACCCTTTACCGCCTCAGGTGGTATCTGATCCAGTCCGGGGGACCTACGAGTCTTGAGTGAACCCAATGCCTCGATAAGTTCATCCATGGTAAAGGGTACAGCCCGCTCAGCTCCTTCATCCCTCCATACACCATGACATCTGCCGTCCGAAAAGAGCTCTCTTGTTACCTCAAGCTTCTTGTCCATAGGCATTTCATAAGGAGGATACGCATGGAACTTCTTCATAACGATCTTGTATCCCTGACCCCATATGTAGTCATCCAGTTTTTCACAAGTGTGAGGTAACCTAAGCTATGCGTGTATAACACGACCACGCTGTTTTGGAGAAAGCTAAAGACTGAGCGTCTAGGTCTGCCGCCCCCTTCCATCTTTCTATCTGTGATGAGGGTCGTCTGCTTCTATACGAAGATGCTGAACCTAGCAATGAGGGGAATTTCAGGAAATTGTTAAGGTTTAAAATCGCACCAGAAGATGAGATTCTTAAACAACACCTATCAACAGCATTTTCCCGAGCAACATACATTAGTAGCACCAGCCAAAGTCAATTGATAATATGTTAGACAAAGAGAAAAATGTGGAAAAGAAATAATTGAATAAATAATGAATCATGTTGAAAGTGCAAATTATTACTCCGTCATATTTGACGAAAAGACCGACGTATCCTACGTTGGACAACTTCCTCTAAATTTGAGATACATACACAATAATAACATTTGGTGAAGACTTTGTCAAGTTCATTGACGCTTATGAGAACATAAAAATAATTAAGAACAACGCCTCGTAGGAGAAGCTTTGGGAAAAATAGTTTTAAACTTGTTCAAAGAACTGCACTTGGATCCGAAGAAATGAGTAGGAATCGGTATTGACAGTTGTAGCGTAATGAGCTTTGAAGCAGTTGGTGCAGTAACA